GGACAGACAAATGTCAGAAGTATGATCAGAAAATCCCTGCAAGCAAAACTGCAGTGTGATGCAAAAATGGCTTTAATAGTTCTTGATTAGTGATCCTTATGCTAAATAATAAACAGCGTGCAGAGACATAAATAAGAAACAAATATATAAATAACAGACTAGTTTATATAGTGAAAAGAAAGGCAATGTTGGACTGGGAGAATGCTGTCTCACCCAGTCTTTTCAGTATCCGTGTCTGTTCCATTCTATTCCACTGTAAAATATGTCTCTCTATAAGTTAAGACAACCTGAACGGAAACATCCATTAGATTTGACCTCCAGATAGAACAAGTTAGTGTTATGTCTCTGTCCATTGAATGAGCAGTCCATGACTTCAGGTAGATGATCCTGTAACAGCTATTCCACTGGTCAGAGCCAAAGAATGTGTACTTAGCAGGTGAGCATGAGGTTTGTGTGTTTGTACTCTGCACATGGCACAAGTCTCACATGTCACAAAGTCCATCATATTTTATCACATCATGTGAAGGTGACTCGTTCTTTGGGAATGCTTTTTGAAAACATTAGCACAGGGATAGGGCCGGGTCAAGGTCCCTCGTCACAGTTCTTTGCTCATGTTGTGTACACAGTTTGTGATTGTGAGGACACGAGGTGTGGACTTGGTGGAGGCATTGGCACAGAAGCGCTGATGTGTGCTACTGTTGAAAATAGCCCAGACAGACAGCTGAGCAGCTGTGACCTCAGCTCCCCTGGACTCTCACTTACACTCCTTGTCCCTCTGTGAGATGCTACTGTAAAATACCATTCAACGTTCATGCCCATTTCTTACATTATGCTGACTGTATTTGGCTTAAAAGCTTAGTGCTAAGAACTCTCCACTCTGCACTTTGATACTGTTATTGTCCACATTTTAGGCTGTCCTCATTGTAAGTTATAAAAGCAGCTTTTAACTTAAGTAAAAATTTAAATAACTATTTATGGTAGTTGAAATTCCAATGAAACTGTTTCTCCTTTAACCCTTGCATGTTTTATTATTCTCATAACTACTGGATGTACAGAAAGAGGCAAAGATCAGATTAAGATGCTGATGGGATTTACCAAGTAAACCCAACCCATAGTGCTAAAAGACTCTGTTTTGGCTTCCTTTCCTCTATAACAGACTCTCTTTATTGGCAGACACGGCATTAGCACTGACATTATAAATGCAGTGCAAAGGGACCAATCCTGAATCTGGGAATGTTTCTGATTTCTCTTCTCTCAAATACACAGTGACAAAGTTCTCCAGAACAGTCCCCTATTACAAGTTAATACAGTCATGTTTTAAATCCATATCCTCAGATGATTACGTAGTTCTGTTTAAAGTCCAGCAGTGCAGACAGCTTTGGACGAGACAGGCGGGGACAATGCAGCCCAATTACAGCACGAGCACAGACGATACCCTTGGACTGGTCCCCTCTCCGCTCGTCAGCACCAGACACTCTCAGTTTCACAGCAACAAGCATGAAATAGGCTCGGAGGATCCAATACAGACAGCGTGCAATTGGACGAATACAGCCAAGGGAGAGGGCGTGTTTATGGACTATATATGTGTGTGTGTATGTGCGTGAGTGTGTGAGCGAGAGACAAAGAGAGTGTGGAGTGAGTGGACAGTGCACTTAGCCAGGAAACTGTTATTAACGGCGAGCTCCCGGACTGATGGTGAAAACAGTGGGAGGTGTGGTGAGACTGGGAACAGCCACTGTCGCCAAGGCTGCTGCCGTCACATGCTTTTGTGATCACGGGCAGGAAAAAGTGAGCCGAGGTGCACGACAACCTACTCAATCAGTTTTCCAAGAGACTTTGGTATCTGGATTGGTCATGGCTGGTATTAAACAGGTGTATTGTAATGGAAAGTATTAGAATACATTTTCCTTTACAAATATTAGAGACGAGGGGTCTATTGAACTGGCAAATCTTCTGGTTACATCCCTACATTTTAAAAAATTTGTATTCCTGTAACAAAATCTATCTAGCTGTGATGAACAGCAGAGTCTTGGAGAAGATCAGGTCCATTTTGGGAAATTCCCTGCACCCTCTGCTCTGCACACTGGGCAGTTTGAAGAGCTTGTTTAGTGGGAGACTGCTTCTGCCCAAACATTCCACAGAACACTCTTCTCTCCATCAAACTGATCATCACTGTCCTGGGCAGCAGTAACTCATTTGGTTGAGTTCTCATCCTCTGATCGAAAGGTTCGAAGTAAACATTGTTGGTAGAGTGGTCAGATCCACTAGCCCACAAGTTAGTGGTGCTCCTACAGATGAATACTGCTATTGTGTCCTTGAGCAAGACACTTAATCCACCTTGCCCTCAAACTTTGTGTACATTGGGTGAGTGGTTCCTTGATGTAAAGCCTTAGCTATTATCCACATTTCACTGAAGATGTTTACATTTAGTTTTTTTTTTTTGTGACATTTAAATTGTTTTTATTACATTTTGCGACTGAATAATAAAACATATGTATGCCAATGTATTTATGAGCAAACAGTCATGTGTAATTAAATAAATGCAAGACAGATATGTTTAATGCCAATGGGAAACATTTCAGGCCAGGCTATGTTTATTAAGAACCCCAACACCAGACAAGCTAGTGCACCTTTAAGTACTTCTTATTCTGAAATATAGTCAGCAAAACAGCTATATAATTACAAAATTGACATAGAAAAGTGCAGAAAGTAATGCAAGGTGCTTATTCTGGACTATAAGAATGACAGCAGACACTCTTTCTGATAGTTTTACAGTAGTCCCTGAATAGCCCATGTTTTTCCCACAGTAAAACCACAGGAGGTGAGTGACTGAGTGTCCCCATCACCACTGCTGTCATCACCACTGGCTGTCTCTCCACTCTGACCAGCACCACACGAGCTCTCCCAGTCTCGACCGCCTCTCTGCACGGCTATTCCTGTACAGGGCAAACTCACACGGGTAAGTTTAGCCAGAGCCTTCCTGGATGCAAACAGAGAAGGTCAAAGTCTGACGCTCTGCCCTGTCTGACCCATATAGAGCTTCACCTACAAGGGCTTCTACAATATATCTATACATCAGTGCATTTAAAGTTGGATGTAGCTGTTCTGCCACCTGCTTCTTCACAGAGAATGTAATGCTTTGCCACAGTATGACCTTTAATGTATGTGCCACTAAATCATTAAATGAATCATTGCAATATAAATAAGTTTAATTAGCCTGATTCATTCACAGGTTTCACTTTGTGGAAACCGTCTGACCTCGCAGCGTTAGGATTCATTCACTCAACAGTCAGCTGGTACTTTTTTATTTAACCAATCACTGCTCTTTGGTCATGATGTATGCAATGCGTAAGTTTGTACCGTATTTATATAGTGGCTTTGTAGTTTACTGAAGTCGTGCTGGGACACCAGAGAGGATTCGTGTATAGGGCGCTCTGGATTGCGGGTTGCGCAGTCATTTTTTGATAGTGTTGGAGGTTTATGAGCGCGCCCTGTGGTGTGGAAAATACGGTATTTGACAAAGGAAGTCCAAAATAGGATAGTGTATGCAGTCTACTATTGCAACTCAGGTTGGTTCAGCTCTTCGCTGATTGGCCAGTGCGCGGTTTAGAACTTTCGGGGTTCTTGCAAACTGTCTAGTGTATTCAGATTCCTGACCTAGTCGGTAAAAAGAAATCAAATTGAGTGAAGGCAGTAGGTGGCGCCAGCCTGGCTAAAGTTAAATGCCACACTGCGGAACATTCCAGACAAAGCAATCACATCTCCATGGAAAAAAAGCAGGTACAGAAGTGTTACAGAGTGCACTTTCTCGTTGTCAAAAAATTAACAATGGGACAAGGGAAGTAAAAACAAGAAAAAAATTCAAATCCCATTTAATATTGCCAAATTCCAATACATATTTATTCAAATAGCTTAAGGTTTGAGTTAATCTAATCTTGTATCATTATTTTGATGTGACCATTTGTTTTATTGATCTGATTATACTGTACATGCTGTACTGAAGGTGAAAGAATTTGTTGCATTAGCACTTTACGGCTAACTTTAAAGCCTCTCTTTTGACATTGCGAGAACAGAATACAAAGGTGAGGTTTAAAAATACCTTTGCACCTCTTCTGACTTCTTCCACATATTTAAATTAGTGGGTTCAATTTGACAAAAAAAGTTAAAGCCAGGGTCACACTTAATCTTCTTTCCTCTCTTCCCAGCTTAAGTCTACTGAATTATGATTCTGTTAAGGTTTTCACAGGTTTAAATTGGTTCTGAGGCAGGGACCTATATCTTACAATGACAGTCATCCACAGTTGGCTTACACTGCGCAAAGCCGCTGATGTAGTAACACAGATCGGCACCTTCTCTGTATTGCCAAGGGGTATAAAAAGTTCAAGTCTACGTTAATATGTGGAAGAAATGCAGATAAAAATACTAGGGCAGCACAATGTATTACAATCAAATCAATATCACGATTTGAGTTATGATAGTTATCAAAAACCGCAAAGGCCGCAGTTATTCTGGTAATAGAATGTACTCCTCAAAGAACAAAACGTCCTTTTGTTTTATAGAGAAATATGGTACCTGAAATTATACCTTTTCTTAGTTTATCAGATCATATATCAGTCTTCTCTCAAACGTTAATGCCAAGTTAATATTATTATACATATTGTGCAAAAGTATTAAGATGAAAAGGTATAAAATCTTTGCTTACTTACTTCTTTCTGATTACTTTTGTACCACTTTTTAACACAAAACTAATTCAACTGAAACTGATGATACATTTTAGCTATAATTCATGTACACAATTTAGTAAAAAAAAAAAAGATCTAAATAAAACTATTACATCAATAACCTCCCCCAAATCCTTATTTTTCTCCAGATGTACTACTTATTTTTGTGGAATAGTGCAGCAGAGAGAGAAGAGAGAAGATTAACTGAAAACTAAACCAAAATGGAAAACTCAATTTCAGTTCAATCGACGAGTTTCAAAGAGACGATTTGAGACGAGGAAAAAAGCAGAGCACTTTTAATAGAGCTCAGCGACACTGGATAATACCAATACAAAAAAAGGGGAAAATAAGACACAAAACAATGGCAAGTGACTTCAAATATGTACATTTATACACAGGTGGTGGGTATGGCTGAGAGAGCTGAGAGTAGGTTAAGCACCAGTGAATTACAAGAAAACAAAGCATGTGACACAGTTCCATTGGCAAAGCTGAAGACATTGCATAGTTTTTAATAAGGGTCATTCTTTCAATATTGTAAAAGATGGGATTTCCAGTTGGGAACATTTGGAAGTTAGTTAGCTTATTGTTTATTATGCATATCTGTGACTTCACATTTGGCGATTGCACTCACTCAGTCTTAGAGGTCATCAATGATTTTTGTGAAATAGAAAATAAATATATGATATGTATCTCTATGTAAAACTTAATGCATTTTTTGGATTGTCAGAATCAGTGGACAGTGGAGTAGATGGAGATGTTCAAACTATATGGGGACAATAAAGAAGCATTAATAATGTACCACAATGAAATACAAGGGTTTTATGGTTGAATGAACATAGCATTTACCCCTTAGACTAATGCCTTGGTATAGGTCTGCGGTTAAAGAACACATATTATGCATTCATGTGGCTTTAATTCCTTTTTAAACCTGCTTTTTGTCAGCTTGGGATTAGTATTTATTAGTAGTTTCTGAGTAATTTTGGTAATATTTGGAAAACACTCTTTATAAACTACACCTCATTTCCAGTGAAGAATTTAAGCGTTGAAACTCCCTCTGCTGTCAGTAATGTGAATGAACAATGAGAAAATAAATGAAAGCTTTAGGATGACTGTAGGGCGAATCCAGAGATTGCTTATGGTCTTTACAAGTGTAGGAGAAGTAAAGATTTTACTCTATGATACAACAATCTGGGCAAAGTGTGAATGGAGCATTGAGTTCAGAGAGAGAGAGTAAAAAAATGGGATAAATGGATTAAAGTACAACTTCAGGTATGAATGATTACAAGACCAAAAAAGCCAATTCTGCATAATAGGTGTCCTTTAACAAAAGTATTGGAAATGAAATGATTGAAAAATGAAATGGCCCAAAATTTGATCAAAAATGTTTTGCTCTTTTGTCAGTCAATTTTGAATCTTGCTTACCAGGGTTATACATGCATTAGTGTGCCATTCCACAAGCAAAAGAAAATCGAACGCACAAAACGTCTCCAAAGAGACAGCAACCACTTTGAATTTTGGCACTTTTCTTCTTATGACCATGTGTGCATACCTGGTTTTCTCATGATAACAGTGAAACGTCTGAAGGCTTTGCAGGCACTCTCAAAGTAATTGTACACATAAAAAACACTGGCAAATTTTCTTCATACATCAAATCTCTCTACCTATATACAGTTACACCCAGTGCCAGTGTGCCATGCTCTACCAGTGAACTCATTACATTCTAATCCCTGCCAAGGTACAAAGTCATTAGAGTTTATCACGTTGACTCTTCCGGTTTCAGGCGCGCAGGTTTCCTCTATCAATCCATCATGCATTCCTCATAATCCCCCCAAAGAAAATGACTTGAATTCTTCCGCCTTACTGGAGAATGGTGCTGTGCAGTGATAGCACAAGGGGAAAATGGCAGCAGAACGAACCAGTGGATTTAACAGTTTTAAAGTGGGTGTACTTTTAAGAATGTAGTCCTGGTTTAAACCATAAAGCGCTTATATATGTGAGTAAAGCGTTTATTGCAATTACCTGAAACAGTGAAAGCAGCAGATTTCAATGCAGATGAGTACGCATGTATGTCTACTCATTCTTTGTTTTATGCGAAATGACATCTTAAGTCTCTGTCAACATTGTCCTCCGTCAGCTTATTGACTTCTTGTTTCGTTAAGTTGAGAAAATGTGTAAAAGTGTAAGCGGTTTCCTTCCTGTGGGTGGGCGGGGGGGTATTGGGACAGTAGCATTCACAGCCTGCATAAGGTCAACAGTGAGCAAAGTGCAGCGAGGAGCAGTGCAAAGCTCCATGGAAGGGGCCGCAGAGATGTGGCCGAGCCCCTGATCACCATCACCGATGTGGGCATGACGGGCTTGACGGGCTTGACGGGCAGCCTGTCGCCACTCGGCTGGTTCCCCAAAGGCCCTTCACTCGAGACGTCCACATGAGCTGCAACAGACAGACGCAAAGAGGTCAGGGCCAGTGATCTGAAAGACTGGTTTTAACTGGATAGTATAATGTTATTTAAGTAGTGTGATCTTATCATTATCAAGGTCAGGTTTCATTTCAGATTAAGCAATTATGGCAAAGCTGATGGATGATATCCTATTAACGTTTTTATCTTCTTTTTTTTAACCATATAATTGTGCAAAATGGTGCTAGTTGTAGAACTAAACCAAGATAAAGATACACACTAATAATAATGCTGCTTGTACAATGAATACAAAGATACATGCCATGATATAAATAATTTAACAGTACATGGTTCAATGCTCTGATTCTTATTTGATGCTTTGGTGCAGTATTTATTTTGACTGTAAGCCTTCGTTAACATGGACCAAGAGTTATCAAAAAAATGTGATACCCAGATACTTAGATACTAAAACATTAGATACTGATTTAGCCAAGTATCAGTACTCTTGAACGTTATCAAAAGTAGCAAAACCACACAGTGAAGTAAAAGAAACTAAGAAATGATTCTGCATTGAAAAATAAATTGTATTTAGGATTAGAAGAACATGGTGCAAGATTAGAATTCGAATAAAATCCTATTATGAATGAGGATCTCTGCATTGTATGTAAAGCTCAGTGCATCTACAAGTATGTTTGCTGAGATCTTTCCTCCAAATTTAGAAATGTTTTCATGGTGAAAACACTACACATCTTTGCATTTGGACCTATAACTTGCAGCCAAAATACACTGGCTCGTAACAAGTTTGGCTGAATTACAGTGCAGTTGGAATTGTTTCTCAGTTTATGTTATCGCACAAATTGTAAATACATTTAAGAAACAGCCGAATGGACAAATAGTTTATACTGTGACAACAATGACCCCATAAACAGGAACAGTTCCCTCTGTCTTTCACTGACAATGCCTTTGAACCTATCCAGTTTGTGAACATGGGCTTGTCTGAATGCATATGTACTGTACTGATTGTTTTGGGGGCTTGGCAAAACTCCTGAGTAAGGCAAATGCTCATTATAACAATTCATTTTTTCTGTCGACAAAACAAATGTATTGTTTATTCTAAATCCAAAGCTTGTGATTTGGGTGGAAATTGGCTGCATGTGAATAGTCAGGATTACATTAATATTTCACACTAAATGAGCACCAGCTAATTAATGAAACCCAACAGAATAAGCAATTATAAACGACAGTAAAGTCTGCAATGTATTGGGGAAGGATTAGAAGACCATGGTGCAATATGATTTGAATAAAATCCTATTATAAAGAAGGTTCAAGGTCAATCAAGATTTCTTATCGCAAAAATAACCATCTGTTCTAATTTAAGCAGAACAAATGGTACCAAAAGGGTGATGAGGGGTTTTATTTTACATTTGTCTTGAATCATGTAGTAATTCTAGTGTCTACATTTTTGTTAAGAAATACTCATAGAAATATACTTATAAAATTCCACTACCTAATGACACTTAATAAAGTCTTAATAAAGCATGAACCAAGACTAAAATCATCATGAACCAATAGTTTAATAAAAATGATTCAGTTAAATAACTACTTCATTAATACCTTACCCACTTAGGTAGTTACTGATCAAAAACATACCTGGAAATATGTTTTGTTTCATTCCCATATTTTTGAGTAATTGTCTGTCAGCATCTCCAAAGCTCAAACTTCTCTGCTCCACCTTGTGATGAAGCGGTAGTTTTCAAGTGAACAGCTACCTTTTCACTTTTGTAGATTGGCAATTCCAGGCTGAAATTATCCAAATGATTCTTGTGAAGGTGTACAGAGTTTAAAAACACACTGGAGCACTTCCTGTTTTACAACATGACATGACAAGGTGGAACTGAGTGTTTTCGGTTTGAGAGAAGCACTCAGTCTAAATAGGGGCACTTTAATAAATGATTTCTTCTTTATGAATTAAGTCTTTGCTCATATTTAATTAAGGCAAATTAAGGAGTGGCTATTATAAAGTTGAACCATAAAAGGTATTAAAAACAGTCATCAATCTTCACTGTCCCCTAATGAATACAAGTAGTAACTCTTTTCAGAACTTTTATTATATTATAAATCACATTTTCAATACCATGTAAGAATGAAAAATGAAAAGTGCATGGGAGTCTGTTGCCCATCCCCACAGCTGCATCTACTGTACTGTACCGAGCACACAGAGGCCAAAGCCAAAAGGAAAGAGGGATTGGTGAGGAGGGAGCAGGGAGCAGGCTGGAGGTGAGTGGGAGGAATAACAACTGCCTTGGTCATCAGTTCTTTAGAAAATTCTTGAGGGTGGATATATGCATTGTTTTCTTTTCCCTTTTGGCTATGCTCCTCAATTCTTCATTCGCCTATTGTTCTCAAGACATGTCAGGAACCATGTATACAGCATAACAACAACTTACTTCAAAGATTGTACACTGTATTTTTGTTTGAATCACCACATTTCGAGTGCAGTGGTTAAAGATGCAGTTTGAACTTTCCTGCTGAGGAGTCCACCACCTGCGATGCAATGCGATGTTCCACTCTATGGAATTAAAAGAGCCATATATGTATCTACTGTATTTTTCGGACTAGAAGTCGCTCCAGAGAACAAGTCACACCAGTCAAAAAAATGTGTAAAAAACATATATAAGTCTCACTCAGTGTCATCAGAGACCAGGAACTGACATTTCACCTTGAAAGGCAAGTTATGGTAATAACAATAGAATAGAGAACTCCAGCCTGTTAAAGTAACATATTAACAGTTCTTCAGACTATAGGATAAACAACAGAACATAACAAGTTTACCAAACTCTCCATCCCACTCCAAATCACTAAATCCATTGAATTCTTCATTCTTGGTGTCACTTCTGAGCAACTCTGCGACCTCCAGAGGTAAACAGAGCGCCGCTTTCTCTTCTTTACGGCTGTTGTCAGACTCAGCATCAGTTCCAGTTAGAATTATTCTGGCCTTTCTGATTCCCAACAGGACGGTTTCAGTTGTCACTGAAATCCAGGCTTTATCGATCCATCCAATGACTTCCAGGAAAGTTGCACGGCGCACCCTCCCAGTTGTCATGACGCTGTGTTCTCCATCCTCACTTTCCGCCAGTCCCTCACAAGTTTCTTGCTCATTCCAAACTTTCTTTCTGCTGCTTGATTACCATTTTCGACTGCATATTTCATATTTGCAGCAGGACAGTGGCTTTTTCTGCAGGAGACGTGCATAGTAGGGTGCCAAGTGACAGTGGTCCAGAAGTAGTAGCAGATACTGACACACAAGCCTAGAGCACCCTCTCGCAGCTGTCAGTGTGAAAATTTTACTATATAAGTTGAACCAGAGTATAAGTCACAGGACCACCCAAACCATGAAAAAAAGTGTGACTTGTAGTCCGAAAAATACAGTGTGTACATATTCAAATGCAAATGCTTTTATTGCTATTACTGTCCCCAGCCCTAGGGTTTCAGGGGCCCAGAATTGGACTGTTTGCCTATTAATTTATATTAGAGGGGACCCACGTGAGGCTTCTTGCCCCGGGCCCACAGATATCTGTCTGTGGGCCTGTTCTTACAGCGCAGTGACTGGGAACACCTCTTCCCAAAGCTTATCAGTCACACGATTGTTTTCATGGAGATAGATTAGTTTAATGCCATACTGTGGAACATTCCAACCAAAGCCATAACATCTCCATGGAGACAAGCAAATAGCAGACACTACAGGAAAAAGATAACATGTGAGGGTAAATTCATTAGAGCTAAAAACAACATAGTCACCTTTTTGTATCTAAAGAATTTGATCATATTTCCCTCGTTATCTTTGCTTTTGCTTTAAGGTTTTAAAAGGGGACTTGATCAGCACTGCCAAGAAATCTCCTTTGCATATTCAGTTAATTAGGTCAACATTATACAGTTTGCATCCAGAGAACTTGTATTGTTTCTCATTAGCTGCCATTAAAAGAATTTATTTGAACACATTTAACGCGAAAAGCTTTGTGTTGAGATTTGTAACGCGGTCAACTGGCTTTCGATCGGACCTCAGGAGACCAATTAGAGACTGATGGACTGTGTCTGTCCATGGATCATGCTGTCTTGGGTCTGTTTAGCGTAGCAGTGGAATTCTAAAACTCTGAGCACTATTTAGGAGCGCTGTCTTAGCTCCACAAATTCCACTTCCTCACAAACAAGTTTAAGGGAAAGGAGGAAGATTCTTTCACACACTCCATTACTGCCCATCCATCTCAGTGCACATTTTGTCCACAGTTCAGCCTTTATGTGGTCTCTTGTCAGCTAGGGGCTCCATTTAAACTAATCTGGCTTTTTTGTATTCAAGTAAAACAACAAGTTTGTGCACACACTCTTTCTGGGAACTGTCACTTAGTCTTATAAAGATAATCTGGGGCTGCTAACAGGGTCTCTGGCAGGCTGCTGAAAGGCCAAAAGAGACAGAACTACAGAGAGATACACATCCTCAGCCCAAGACTCGCCTAGCAACGGCCGCAGCAGCGTGGCAACCCCCAGGACGGATCATGGCTGTGGAATCTGAGCACGCCGCTTCTTGGCTGTACATGACTATTAAGCTTTTTGGCAAGATTAAGATTTACCCTCTTTCTCCACACAAATACAAGGAGGACAAATAGGCACGGGGCCCTGGGAGGACACTGACCTCTACCAGTCAGTGAGACCATTCCCAAGATGGAGGAAAAGAGATTTGTGAGTTTGGGTTTCTGTGCAACTTAAAGTAAGGCTGGGTGATATGGCAAAAAGGATTATAATCATGGTTTTATTCCTCAAGGCCAAACCTGATTTTCGTTTGTACTTATTCTTCCCAAAAACAAATTAAAAATAGCTTTTAGTATCTGTTTTATGAACAAAAAACAGACTTTAACATAAAAAGAGCACATTTCCTCCAAAGTTAGAACTATGATCCAAACCGCATGCTTTTACTCACAGTGGTTTGGCTGTGGACCTCTCAATTTAAAAAACCCAACCATATCATGAACGATTAGAGATG